CGGAATGCCACCATATTCTTAAATAGAATATAACTGATACATAAATGTAATAATTCGAAGTATTTTTGGATAAAATTATGCTTCTACCTGTCGAAAGAAACTTATGGATTGTACAATTAATTTCATAATCAAACTTCAACTTTCTTATTAATTAGAATTTCACCAGTTTATCGCCTCAGGTCAACTGAAACTCATCTCATCGGTCTATAACTAAACGTTTTTGGTAAAAATGTATTATGCTTACATAAGTGGATCACCAACGAATAATTGATGTGTCTGTCTAGATCTTAGTGCTTAGCACTAGTCAAACTTTAATAATTAAGTTTTGTAATTTGATCACTCAATGAAGTGACGCAACACCGCAGCAAATTGCACTTCAGTGTTAGTTTCAGGGAGTGAATCAGCAAGAACACCTGGATTTGAGTTTTATTCATGTTGGTGTACTCATTTCCACAAGTATTAAACACTAAGGACCGAATATTTACATCCATTACTCAGTAGTTACCGTTTCGCGGACACAGTCCAGTTTTATAGAAATGGTGGCCGGAATAGCCTAGCGACTAAATATCTGACTGCACCACTTACTGACGCAGGTTCGAGTGACCAAAAAAACACCATTTTCCTCTTGAATCTGGATACGCCTTGCTAACAAGTGCTAACAAGCTCACAACCTTGGTCAAGTTGGGCTCCATGTGAACTAGCTCCCAGCATGTAACACCAAAATCTATTGTTTTAATCTGTTTTTCCTATATGTATCTACATTAATAAGTCACAGAATTTAGTCTTTAGAAACTATTTCAGTGAAAGGTAATCAGATAACATGAGTGTCGATTTCTTTTTTTTCATCATTGCAAACTTCTCCAAGGTATGTATTTACAGAAGTTGGTGTCTAACGAGTCAATGACATCGCACTGTAGTTTTCAATAATCTATCCACATATTTGAAAAAGGTTTCAGTAGATGGAAATTTTGTTTAATTATAAATTGTATACAATTTGTGTACGGCTCCTGATAAGCAGTTTAGGAAAATATATACAATAATAAACAAAGCTTACAACTGGATTATAAAAAAATCTATTTTTCATACGAATTTTCTCTTCGTAAAATCCCATATTCAACTCACAGATTTTACCAATACCTACAATTTGTAATTGTTATCTGTTTTCTAACAGTCGTGATTTGAGTATCGGTTACATTGACTAGCTAACAATCTGTAAAATTCATTTTAATAAAATGAATTTTCAAAGAATGAAACGCTGATTCACCCTCTAAATATGACTAAGTATTACAAATTTGATTGTAGACACTAACATTTTGTAAGCTTAAAGAACAGAAATAAAAAACAGTTATGAAATCATTTCTCTGGGGAACCGATAAATTGATGGCACTTTATTTTCTGCAGCTAATTACCATTACATTTTAAAGAAATGGGAGAACGAAGATGCAGCTTATGACTAAGTTCAAGCAAACACTGCACTGAAAAATGTTCATTCCAGATAATAGTGCCAGAAATTCGGTTCTTTAAAATAACTGACTGCAATCAACTTTAGAGTTATGGTTTCTTCGATGCATAACTACTTAGACACTAAGAATTAAATAAAAAGAAGCTTGGCAAACATTTTAATCGATAGCTGGCTTCGGCATAAAGAGATGGGACCTAACCGAGATGGGGAAAGAAATGCCATAGTTCTTCCTGTATATTTTTCTGAAGAAGAGTATTAAATCAATTCGTGGATTTCATTGTCTCCATATAACTTCATCAAGAATGGGCATACTTAAAAGGGTAGATCTCAGGAGTGTTGCCACACTAAGGACTACTCAGTAATACAGACATCTATATAAAGTAATCATTAGCAAAACTATCAGAACTTAGGAAGACATATCTGTGAACATCATATCATCAACCGTAAGCAGATCCTGTTAACAAAAGTATACATATCCTACGATGTCACTGAATTGAATAACTATGATAAATCTTCCTCTGATTTAGGCGTCATGAATCAGATTGAAAACTGACCAATCCTGTAAGCCATAGGGAACCAATTAGTTTACTTAAATTTAACCTTTTTAAAGTCATCAATGATTAACCTGTTTGCATACATGATCATCTACAAGTTCTTCAAGGATGGCATAATTCTATAATTCTCCTAAAAAAAACTACTCTAATCATTTTGAGCTTTTTATATATCTCTATACTTTCGAAAATTTAGGCGATTAAATATTTTCACCGATTTGAATCATTACTAGGATAACTTGTTTACACACCGATCTTATCAGCATTGAGTACATATGGTTTTTGTTTCTGTTTTCAAAGACGGAGATTTGGGTCTTGTACTATAGTCAAAATGAATAGTCTGAAAAGTCAAGATATTTCGACTTTTATTCACACATTATATTTGCTGAAAACATTGTGAAAAGTTCATAAAATACAATAAAATGGATTTCAACAATGATTTAAAGTTTCTGTTGAAATGTTTTTATCATGCTGTCATTAGAGCTACTAAGGAATCAAATCATAGTATTCAAGGTGTTAAGTTTCCACCTTTTCTTATTCTATACTATATTTACAGACAATTTGTTACAGTCTAATTAACCTTCAAACTTTAATTCCAGCTTGACAAAAAAGAATTCCCGCTATAACTTACTACTCTTTATCTACTTATTCAAAGAAAATACCCAGGGGTGTTAGCAGTAATATTTATCTGGTCTAAACTATTTCCTCACATGTGTAGCTTAGTTTGTTGTCTTTGTAACATAATGTTGTCTTCATTGTTGGAACACCAGATGGTAAAGATAAGATGATACAGGAAAGGAAAGAAATATCTAGTCACACATTGTGATGACAAGAGAAGTAGCAGCAGTAGACGTCATGGTTATAACAGCTGCACTTCAGAGAAGGGGGTATAAAGACTGAATAAACATACACATAACTCTACTAGTATATATGACATTCTATGCAAATTTAGCACAAAGTCATCTAGCAAGAAATATGATATATACCTTAATTAGCTCTCTTGCTTTGATATACTCTTAAAACTTACATCTGGGATTAGTTTTTCTTTTTTATGAAGTGAGTAAACAGAATGAAAACAGCAACAGATAATATTGTTAACCTGTCTTATTTTTATCATACAAGAATGTACCAACATTTACGTTAACATAGTGTCAACGACTCCAGTTATATTTCGTTTACTTCCATAGAAAAACTAGTAATTACACTCTGCCATAATGTATCTAAGTATCTATTCTTAAACATTTGTTTGACAGTCTAAGAAAGTCAACATCCTAGAGATTTTTGATTATCATGATGCTCTCTAGGTGGGTTGAAAGCTTTCCTGCCCATAAAAGTGTTTCCAGTTAACTAGATAAAATCTGTAGAATACGAAAACGAATTACTACCCACTTTTCACCTGCACAAAGGAAGGAATGAGAAATGTAAGCATTTATCTTTGAACCAGAACAAATTAGTTTATCCAACTCGAGGGTTTGTATTCATCACAAACAGATATCAAATGGTGGAACATTGAGAACCTGGGAGCACTGAACAGGTTCTGTGGTAAGCATCTCCTTGGTCTGATTCTTGTCATGGTCTTGAGTGTGTACTGCTAAAAGATCCATACTAGGAAGAAACAACTACCCAGTTCTCCCAGTTTTTCAACTGTTCTCAGTCTGTAATATATATCAACCTGAAATAAATTCACTCTCACTCCGATTATTATATTGTTTTACTCAAGCTGTCAACATGAGGTAAATTATATCAAGAAATCAAATGCTACATAAAATTCCCTGGTCACCGACGATGACTAATTCCTGATTAATAATGTGACTAAGTTATCTTTGAAAATGATTATTTAATTCTATGAAGTGAATATGAGTAGCACTTAAATTGGGCACTCCTCTTAACCTAGATAAACAACTAGTATTGTAATATTCCCAAGTTCAGGATTCAGTATCTTTATGCACACTGAAGCTCGCAATGTTCGTGTTAACACAATTATGTAACAAATGTTTTGTTGGGTACTGGTCGTGGGGACCATGATTCCGTTGAATCCTGTCAATATTCTATTTATATTCTTGTAATCTTTTCTAAAGCTGTGAGAATCTATATACGATTTGATATAAGTGGGTTCATCTTCCTTAGGTAGGTCTGAACAAAAAGAAACTAGACTCACATAATTTAAGATGTAACTTTTTTGGTTTGCGCTGTATTTTAAAGATTTAAGTAGAAAAAATAATAGTTAACCAGTGAAAACAATCCATAGGTCAGACACTTCATGAATTACGTCCCACATCTGAATATTCGATAACTCAGTAAGACTGTCCTGAAACAAGGTTTTTAGAGACACCCAAGGCCCCAAACCTACTATGAAAATCTTGTTCGACAACCACACATACTATCATATGTAAAGTTTAATTGAAAGAGAGAACAGAGTAGCACGAAAAATGAAAATCTCTCATTTTCTTTGTCTACGAACTTTATAATATGTACTCCCTTGTCATATAATCAGTAATCATCTAAAAACCACCCTAGCATATCAACTGGCGAACCACTGAAAACCTTGGAGCACTGGACAGCTGTTTCGTCCCTCCATAGGACTCCTCAGCCGTGCATCCAAGGGTTGAACCCAGGACCTTCTTGTCCTGTGTCGAACACGTTTCCATTGAGCTCCTGATTAGGGATCGAAATATCCATAACGTCTTTAAGACCACTTTATTCTTCTTTCTCAAATAAATCCATTATTTTTTTCAAAAATGGCACAGTTTTTCAAAGTCCTTGCATACAAACATTCATCAAAAAGTAACCAAGATGCAACTAAATGTATAGGTTGTACTTAATTTCACAGGAATAATAGAATTCTGTCTTGTTTGTTAGTAAAAACTAGCGTCTTATTATTGGGAGATATCATGAAATGGTATTTTAACTCTTGGAAAATCCAATCGCTGTCTTAAGCACTGAAGTAGAGTAGACATGATTCAGGAAGTTTTAAAGAAGTTACTTACACATATTAACTCTTGGAAGACTTGGAAATACAAGACCAGTTGTTATGTGACTTGAATTCTCGGTAGCACATTTTAGTGTATTCGAACGAAATTTATGATTATTGCTTTTCTGATTTACTAATGTTTTCAATCCTATTCCATGTAACATATCTTTAGTGTGCACAGACGATGATGTTGTTGTTGGTGTTATTGCTCTAGTCATTTGAATTTGATTAGAATTCTCTTCATCACTTGCACCACGACCACTATCTGATCTTTGTTCTTCACCAATGACTTGAACAGGAAGCTGAGGATCTTTTACAGCGCAATCAATATTAATTGGAGTATTTTGATGCATAAATGTGGGATGCATTAGATTGGTGGAACCCAAATTGAATACTGTCGGTATATTAGACAACTGATTAGGTGACAATGAGTTTGACCTACTTTGATGATAATAATATGTTGAAGAAATGGGTGAATCTCGTGTGCACTGAAGAAGAACAAGATCCGGTCCGGCAGTCGAAGAATTTGCAGATACCAGGGGAGGCGACGTAAGTGAAAGTCTCAGTGGTTGAGATGAAGGGTTGGTAGAGTTTAGATGGTGTGGTGAGTACACTGAACACCTCGCTGTCATGTTACATGAAGAAGCATTCGACATGGTATGCTGACAGTCGTTATTTGGAAATTCTAAGTGTAGATAACTCCAATTCGGTTGCTGACCCTGTTACAGAAAACACAGATATGATTATGAGCAATAATTTATGCTCGAAACGTAATCAAGTAAATAATACTGTATCACTGTGCGCTTTATATCAAATAAACAAATCTAATATGAAACTACATTCTACCACAGTGCCCAAGTTTTTCACTTATAATCTAAGAGTGTTTGAAGGATCAAAACAAGATAATTATGAATGTTTCGCCACTGATTCTTCGGGATAAATATTTTATAATTCATATACTTAGAAACTGTTGGATTAAGGTAAGACTAAAGCAGACATTTTTTACCTTTTCTAGAATTCAGAAACAGATCACACAAGTTTCCAGATATTTCTTATTGCATTCTTCATCGTAGAAGTGATTACGTAATTTGCCTCGTGTTTACGCTCACTCACCGATTATCATCTCTGTCTTAATGATGGGTACTAAAATTTATTAGTAGACTTGCTGACAACTATTATACTCAATATTATAAAGATTAACTTAACAATGTAGTGGAATATGAAGATCCACCTTCAAAAAATTACATTCGCCTTCATATAAGTTAGGCCTTAGCCAACTGAACAGAAGTGAAGGAATCCTAGTTACTGCCCGAATGATTTCTTTCCAAAAGTTACACATGAACATGCCAATGGTTTCACCGTACACGGTTTCATTATCGAAAAATAAACCGGCTAATACCATAAAGGTATGCATGAGAAAAAATCCAGGTTCCTCAGACTAAACTGCGGGGAACGGATGAATATAGATGAATTTTTACAAACAATGATCAAATTAAAAGAATTTTTTGGCGATATTTCGATCAAACTTATGATTAAGATACAATAAAGAGTATAAGTGTATAGATGTTCAGATGGAGAGAGTAGGTCAGAGCTTCGAAAAGGAGAGTAAAGCTACATACTACTGATAAATAAAATCCATGGTTGAATAAAGTTTGAATGTGACAAAAAATTAAAATAAGAAGGGGAAGAAGTGTATTTCAGAAATTTATAGGTGAGGTCTTCCCTAGGATGAGCCATTCGAAAGTAACCATTATTCATAAAGTTACAATTTAATAGAGTGACTACTTGTTCCACAGACTACCAGTGACTATAAAAAGAACTTAGTGTGCAGCTAATCTATGTCTCTCATCTTATAGTTGACAAATTGTTTTAACTCAAATGATCCACAGGTTACCGAGTTCTGTCATTTCTGTTCATCATTCCAAACTGAATTCTTCCTTTGAGGAGAAATATAGGATAGACTTCAATTAGGCCATGTAAGCAAGGCATAATCGAACATCTTTTTAGCTTGGAAAAGGAAAAACAAAGTGCATAAGGAATAATGTTTAGTCGCATCTGATCGTTACTGATTACAAAGCGGATAAAATGATATCAACTGTAATGATATACAACATCGCACCGAACCTTTCAATGAAGTTTGAATTCACCTTGTATAAATACTTAAGTCTATGGAAAATGGAATGAATGATCCAAACATTTGCATTCCTGAGAACTTTACGTAGCCTTTACCATTGCCTCATTCAGAGAAGACTAAATAAAACAGCTTGCCAGCAGATTTTCAAAAACTCTTTACTACTATTATTTATTATTTGTCCCTTGGATTCCTAATGGAACATAGAGCTTCAGTAGCATGTCTCCAGTGAACTCTGTTCTCTGAAATCTTTTCAACCTGCCTCCACGACAGCCCAGAAGCTCTCATTTCCTCCTCGCACGACCTCCTCCATGTCACCCACGGCACCGACGTCCAACTCGTCGCTTCCCATGAGGATTCCACTCGAGTGCCTGGCCTGATGCGTGATGTCCCCAATCGGCTTTCTCAGTGTATGCCCAATCCATCTCCACTTCCTTCCATTGCATATTTGTTGAGCGATAGCTTCCTGGTTGATTCGTCGACAGCCAGAGTTCCTTATCACTTATTCTCTCTGGCCATCTGAGCTTCAATAACCAGCCAGCGTAGGCAGTTGTTGATGAATGTCTGTAGTTTGTTGGAAACCCCTTTCGTAACGCACCAAGTCTCTGAAACATACAGAAGCACTGACTTGACGTTGGTGTTGAAAATCCGGATCTTGTTCCACATGACGAGTTGAGTGCAGAAGATCTCCACACTGGTTTCAGGCTAATGAACGCCTGTCTTGCTTTTCCGATTCTGACTTTGACATCCCCATCCGTGCCACCGCCGCCTGTAGTTGAAACAATGCTGCCTAGATAGGTGAGGGAGGTTACTTCCTTCAAGTTTCTCCCATTGGTGGTGATTGTTGCTTGTTGTTGTTCTTGGTGCGGTATCTTCATCTCCTCTGTCTTCTCTATATTCACCTGAAGTCCCGTCTTCCTTCGCTGCCTCTTCTATCAACTTGTTAGTTTTCGCCTGTAGATCTTCAAGTTTATGTGACATCAGGCACAAGCCATCATTGGCGAAATCCAAGTCTTCTAGGTCCTTTTCCGCAGTCCAGTGTATCCCCCTCTTCTCACAGCTCCCCACTGTTTGTTGCATGATCCAGTCGACCACAATCAAGAATATCATGGAGGATAGTAGGCAACCTTGTCTCACTCCTGTCTTCACTTCAAAAGCGTCACTGAGCTTCCCATTGTGAATTACTTGGCATGTGGCATCTTCATATAGTTGTTGAATGAGATTAATAAAGGTCTGCGGTATTCCGTAGTAATGAAAAAGTCTCGAAATTGCCTCTCGCTCAACGCTGTCAAAAGCCTTCTGTAAGTCGATAAAGTTGAAGTGGAAAGTTGACTGCCATTCTGTACTCTGTTCTATGATGATGCGAAGCGTTGCAATTTGGTCTGCACATGATTTGTACTTCCTGAATCCAACCAGCCAGTTCTGGTCGTAGTTCTGAATCCAGTGCATCCTTCAGTCTCTCCAGGATGATGCGGCTTAATATTTTGCTTGCTGTGGGTGGACAGTGATGGAGCATGATTCCTCGCCAGTTCTTGCAAACACTGAGGTCTCCATTCTTCGGGAGTTTGACAAGGTAACTCTTCTTCCAATCACTAGCCAGGTACCCTCTCTTCCTTCCAGAACTTCTGCAATAGTGGTGTGAGCATGTCCACTGTTGTCTCTGCATCTGTTCTCAGTGCTTTTGGTGGGATCCCATCTAGTCCTGCTGCTTTCCCACATTTCAGTAGTTTTATGGCGTTCAGGACTTCCATTTTCGTTGGAGGATTTATGTTCACTTGTAGTTCAGCGGCTGGGTTGCTGGTAGTATTTCTGGACGAAGTGCAGGTGGTGGCCGATTCAAGAGCTTCTTGAAATGGTCGGCCCATTGTTCCCTTTGTTTCTCTTCTTTCATAATTAAATTTCCTTCATCACCTTTTATTGGTTTCGTCTGCGTTGATATCTTCCCAGATAGCAACCTGGTCATTTCATACAAAGTTGTCAGGTCTCTGTCTCTCCTATCTGCAGCCTGTTCTGCTTCACTTGCCAGTGTTTCGTAGAAGTGTCTTTTGTCTTTGCGTGCACTCTTCTTCACTTCCTTCTCTAGTGTACTGTTTTATACATTGTACTCAGCTCCTCTTGTCGTTGAGCATCCTTGCCCTGTTTCTTCTTCTGCTTCACCATCCTCCTCTCTATCAGCTCTATCAGCTTACATGTATCCACTGAGATCCATTCCTTATCTTCTTTCTTCTTCCTTCCTAATATGGCTGTGCAGGTCTCTTTCCACATAGCTTTCAAAGAGTCACAGTGTTCTTCCACACAGGTTTCTTCAGGGATGTTCCTCGATATCTTCCATTTTGTCTTGATGGCTGCCGTGAAGATTTCCTTCGTAGTTTCGTCCTTCAGTTCCTGAGTGTTGTACTTGAACTGTGGTCTATCACCAGCTTCTTCTTCGAAGGCTTTCAACTTGATTTGGAAGGTTCCCTGCACCAGATAGTGGTGTGAGTGGTGTGAACCTACGCCTGCTCCTCTTCTTGACCTTGTGTTCAGTAGACTGCGTCTCCATTTTCTTGAGATTGAGATAAAGTCTATTTGATTTTTAGTGTGTCAGGTGTCTGGTGAAATCCATGTCGCTCGCTTTGTGGATATCCTTGTGCTTGAACACACTGCCTGACTCCAATCGTCAAATCGTTGAGTGCACAGAATTCTGCAAACAATTCTCCATTCTCATTCGTTTCACCTAGCGCTTCTCGACCCAAGGTTAGTTCTCTTACTGTGTTGTCCCCTCCCAGTTTGGCATTCATGTCACTCCACCCATTAGAATTTTGATATCGCCAACTGAGGTCTTGTTCAGTGTTGATTTATGTTGTCTGTAGAATTCCTCCTTTTTCTCTTGATCTCCATTATGTGAAGGTGCATAGCGTAGCATTGTATGATTGTGACCTTCCTTCCTCTCGAATTGAACCTTGCTGTCATGATCCTGGTGCTGGAGGAGATTGGTTCCCACTGTATGAGAGCCTTCGAAGCTCTTGGAAACATCATGATATCCACTCCATAACTCAGTGTGCTCTGCTTGTGGTTGTCGTCTGGGTGACCGGAGTAGATTATTGATTCTTCAGTCGACGGTTTGGAGAGTCCACTCCCATTCCATCTGCTTTCGCAAATTCCAAGCACTTCGATGTGATACCATCTCATCTCCTTTGCAATCTGGGCTGCCTTACTGTGTTCAAACATCCTGCGCACATTCCATGTCCCCACGTTTACTTTCGCTTTCATCGAGAGAGAGAAGACACATCGGCCTGGCCAATTGGCTTCTCAAAGGCAGGCTTTCACCAACTGGCGTCATTTCGTCTCTCCGATTCCAGTGAGGAATAATTTTGTGATTATTTTTTATATTTTGTTTGTGCTTTAAAGCTTGTTTAGCGGTGGGATTGGTTTTACGAGTAGGGTTGCTAGCCATATGCCCAACCTTCCCTGTTTACCCGGGCTTAGGACTGGCTAGTAACTAGTGAACTAGTTAACTAGGCAAGGTTTCAAAATACTCTTCCTCAACTTTTATTTTACTCACTACTTGCATACTCCTACTATGTTCATACTCAAACTTTACCTATCCGCTGATTTCACTTATCAGGAATATATAAATTAACTCTTTTTTTCCGAGAACTGACCAACCTTTTCCGTTTACGTTATCATGCCATTCTCAACTTTTTATTCATTACTTATGCAACCACTAGTCTGATTTGCATAGTCCGCATACATGTTATCATACGTAGATTTCGAGTGACTTTAAAGGCCGCCCTAGCAACAAGTGACGTAACTAGTTAGACGTTTCTATTTTACAAAAATCTTCCTTTCCAGCCGAAATTAAGAAACCTAGTTGTTTATTTTAATCGTTGCTAGGGTGATCTTTAAAGTAGCCCTAGATTTCGTGTTGGCATCCTGTCAAGTGGCAAGAAAGGGGAGTGCCCTGTATTTTTGTGTTAAATGTTTGAGTCAAACTATCAAAAGTCCTGAACTCAGGTTTCATGCTTGCTCATCGATTTACTTTGGTCAGCTGTGAGCACTTCGAACTAGACATTTACGTCGGTTACTGACTGTCCATCAATTGTCTAGATAATCTAGTTCTACAATAAATTCAGTCATAGTCTGACTTGTCTCGTGGAAAGGTTTCTGACTTCAGCACTCAGTGTTGCAGGTTATGTATCACTAAACAAATGCCAGTTACCTAACGGTTGCAGATGAATTTTGATGACTAAGGCAAACAAGAACAAATAATAGTTCTAGGAAAGTGAGGAACACACTTCTTTAAACATGATGTTAAATACTGTCAGCTTAGATCTCCCAAGTTGTGCTCCAACAGTATACAACAATGAATGTATAGAAATGTATACTAAGATACTTTTGTTGCCTATCAGTTGAAAACCTCTAGTCACTAACATCTTGATGTTCAAATAACATTCTATCAAAGTCCATGGCTTTAAACGGGAATCAGTTACAGTCGCTGAGTGTAAACGTAACATTCCAACAAACAGCCTAATTCAAATTAAGGTTTCCGCGGAATTATTGATTCCAGTAACCTCAGTTGTAGGAGCATTGAACATACGAGATCACTAGGCAGTTGTTTCATCCCACTTTGGGACTACGTACAAGTCTGCAGCCATGAATTCAAGACGGAAAAGGGCTCAGGATTGTCAATTCCATCGGTGGCGCTTCATAAATTAAGATGAAACAACCCCATTCTCCTACATTTTTCATAGTTTTCCAAATGATCTTGATCCATGATGAAAACTCTTTAAGACAATATTACTGAAATGAAGGGTATCCATTGAAGTAAGTGCTTATTAAGTCACCCAACTTGGTGATGAAACGTTCGAGAACAACTCTCAAAGCTTGGATAATACCAGAGAGTTATAATCATAATCCTGAGCTAAACATTTTCTCTACTGTCTCAAAATGGTACATTTTTCAGTTTGTGTTAGGGCAAAATCTATTTGTATTACAAAAGTTCTACATTGAAATATTTATGAAATTTCGGAAATACAAAACAGTATGGTTTTCAGTATTCCAGTTTTATTTTTCGAAATAATCAGAGATGTTAGTATTCATTGCAGTGTGTTTATGACAGTAATCAAAATCCTTATTCATCAAAATTCAATTAAATGACATTCTTCGCTTAAGTATTTAAAAGCTTTGAGTCACTAAAATTCTGAAGACAACAAATAGTGTATGAACTTTTGTCCTGGTAACTGATCTTCAGTCATGAACATTTGATTCCCTAAATGACCATATCCAGGCCGCCTACACCTTTTGAATATCAGATAGATCAAAAATGAGAATTCGTGAATTAGCTTCGCATCTTGGTTCAGCTGCCACACATGCTTTCTTCTAACCTAATTCTACTTTCAGTAACACAACCTACCAAGGTAGGTGGTGGCTTAGTACGCACATGTGTGCAAGTCACCTTAGTCTGTGAATGTAGGCGATATGACCAACTGATAAGTATCACTTTAACATTGCTCTCTTTGTGATCCACTTACAAAGAATAAGGAACGATTAAGAACCTGTGTGTCTACTACTCACCTTTCAAGGTGAACTGTAACTTTCTATATAGGTCTACAATAGTCCATCCGCTTAATAGTTTCTGTCCAAACTCTCAATTTACTGTAATGTGACTTAGTATTCTGTACGAGTTTCGATATCGCCATTTTAGCATGCAAGTTAGTTTCAACAGTAATAAAACTCCTTACGTGGAGTAGATAGCCATGTTAACATCATATACTATATGTAAACACTTAAGAAAGTTCCAACTCTAATGACGTGAAAAGACAAATAATAAAAAAATATGTAATTCATAAAGTAATAATAACTCACTGCATATTGTACTAAACTCGAAGGTGGTGAAGTTCTCTGTACGCCAGGAGATTTGGCTCTTTTCATCAAATCCACTTCTTGTTCTACACTATTCCCGTTGTTACTGGATGTCATTGGAACAGTAGCAGTTGTTGTCTGATTACTGTTATCATCATTACCGATATAATTATCAATACCAAATAATTTGTAAGGTGGTAAGTAATAACTGTCTACTCTAGGTATTGTACTGTTGCCATCAGATATGACTATACCTTCATGTTGCTGCTGATGTTGTTGTATCATATGATGGGTAAAAGGTGAACTTGTATGACTAAACACCGTGTCCACATTTTGTCCAGATGTATACCTACCCAATTGAAATTGTTGCTGCTGATTCAATAAACTTAGACTGTAATCATCATATGGTATTCCAATTTGATCTACCGTTGTCTTGGTGATATCATAATCACTACAAATTATTGTATTAAATTCTTTATCAAATGGAATATTGCCAGTGTTGTTGATACTGCTAGCATTTGAACATAATTTCTTATTGAATCGGTTAGAATTACTTGATTTTCTACAAGGTTTAATCATGCATAAGATGGCAGTGATTAATACAGAAGCTAGGAATGCTGATATCCCAGACAGGATGATGACTACAAGGATGGTATGAGCCTCTGTTACTGCATACTTTGTACTGAATAATGATAGATCACGATTCTGTTCAATTTCAGGGAATAACCAATTTCCTCGAGGTGGACTGTCATCAATAATTAGTTGAATTGTCTTGATTAATAAATTGAGTAAGAAAACATCATAGGATTGAACGTTTAATGTTAATTTAGTATACTGAATGTCTAGGACTATAAGTTGATTAGCTATAAGATTGAACACACTGAACTGTTGAAAATCACACCAGAAAGGATGAAGGAATTAGTGCCACTGAAGTTATCATCTGTCCTGTTTATCACTGTAGTTCACCGTGAACATTACCACTCTGATTCCACTTTACCCTATGACATTCATGATCCTTTCTTTCAACAAGCATATTTTGCATAAAGTCAACTGTTCACTGTTTACTCTTTTATGCGATAATTGGTAAGGATTTTAATTAGTCTCTTGATGAAACATCCACTAACAAATATCAAATTTGAGAGAACAGTGAACAATATCTATAAATATGCATACATTTATTCATCAACTGAATACTGTAGTCACTTTTAAGACGAAAAGGCTGAGGACAGCTATCTACTTCTTCGGTTTCTAGATAGGTTGTAACAGTGAAAGTTAATTACTCCTATTTATTACTTCTAAGCTGTATGACTGACATTGATTCATGGTAAAGCTTCTGTGACTATCACGCCTTTCCGTTATATGGTATTCTATTCAGTGGATTACTCTAAGTATTTTTCTATCTTCATTTTTTTGACTCAAAGGTTGACAATCATCTGAACACATTTCTATGAATAACTAAAAGATGATCATACACTTTGACAGGAACCTCAACTAAATCACAACCAAAAAAAATGATAGTTGGGTAACCTAAACAGTAATTTATATAGGATTAATGAAAACTTTCTGGTGCATCAAAACTAACACTATTTGCTCTTCATATCATTTACAATTAAATGTGCTAATGAGGCTAACAGATAATGCCATTACTTCTGGTGAAGCTTTCTAATCTTTGTAATCTCAAACCTGTTGTCATTTATCTTTCGTCAGTTAGTCTGCTGATATTTTATAAATAAAAATTTATGCTGGGTGGTAATTGAAGGTGAGATGAACATCTGGACTGTGGCTGGATTCGAACCAGTGATCACCGGGTTACCGACCCGATGCTCTACCAACTGAGCTACAAGGTCCAACTGTTGACCAGAATTTTGTTTCAGTTCAATCACCAAGGGTTTTTCCCTGGCTGATAACCCGGTGATCGCTGGTTCGAATCCTGCCGTGGTCAAGATTTTCGCTTCATCTTCAAACATCATCCAGTATAAAGACTGGTCTGCGAAACTACGGCTATCTCAGATGGTAAAATGAAAATAAAAGTTTGTAAATTGGCAAGGAAATCCAAAATGGAAATCAGGACAGATAATGAAATCAAACGTATGTATTAAAAGATCATAGCGATCATTGATGACATGAGATACTGTAATATACCGACAGTTTATAAATAACATACCAAACATCGTAGGTGTTTATTCTGTAGATGTCTCATTGTTGACTGACTTTATAGGTCAAGATGTAGCAGTCTGTCATAAAACGACGTGAATGGTTCAAACTCATAACATAAATTATCATTTCATAATAAATTTATTCAGTTTGGAGGTTTGTGAGGGTTTCATTTATTCAAGTTGGTATTCATTACTAGCTGACATCCGACTGAGAACCACTGAAAGCCTGAAAGTATCTCACAGGTGTTTCGCATATGTATGAAACTCTTGGTGGTACACATACAATCCCACCAGGGGTCAAACCTACGACCTTCAACGTTCCAAGGCGAACACGTCATCATTGGATGAAGGTCACTGGCTTTGCAACTGGTGGTATCAGTGGTATACACTGTTGAAACTTTCCATACTCGAGCAAAATAGTTGTCCAGTGCTCTCAGGTGTTCGATGACTCTTTTACTGATACAGTCCATGATTAATACTAACTTGGTATACATTTATTTGTGATCAAAACCATGACACAGTTTACATGCTTAGCTTTTTAAAATTCTGACTCATGGTTTCTTAGGTAAGCCGATACAATTTATAACCACTTTTAAAATTTCATGGATAAAATCACTTATAATATGGTACTGTAGATGAACAATTATTACGAAGTGATGGAAAAAGTTTGTATCTCGTGATGAGAGTGGCAGTGGTTTGGTGTCCTCTGAGTTTCGATATTTTGTCACAGACGTTTCATAACCAGGAACTCAATTTATAAGGAAGCGACTTCTTCATGGAGTGCTGAAGATGTTAGCAAGCTTGATGATAAATTGTTTCCAACATAATCTCAAAGCCCTAAGATCACCGAACCACCATTAAACCATTATTACCCTTTAAGAGGAAAACACGATTGTCCTTTAAAGTCAAAACAAATGCTTGCATGATTTCCTGTCAGTGATGAGAATAACACATGCAAGCTAATTAAAGAATTCTATTGTAATATATCCCGGGAAAGTGATTATGCTAAGAATGCAAGTTGTAATCTGAGTGACATTAGAACTGACGTTATCGAAGGGTTCAGAGCTACATAAGATGCGTTAATCAGTGGAGTAAGTAGTCATGAAACACTAACCACATCCTGAGAATTTACTAATAGTTTGTACAACGAGCTGTTCGTTTTAAGATGGCTTGAACAGTTTGCTTACCTAGCAAGGATCTTTTAGAGATATTGGTGATGAATTAATCCATACATTAGCACAACCGTAGTTCAGTAGTTAATTAGCCTCCATCTAGGTTCATATTAATTATGTCAATTAGTTATAACTTTTCGTTGGTGTACTTGCAATTCCCCATTGTTTTGTTGGATGGAACTTTTTGACATCTGTTGGCATATGGACCCGCATCCGGATGCCTCAATATTGCCTGAATATTTATTACGGTAATTTACTTGGATGTGGCTAGCAGAAGAGTGCAGGATGCGCATTCTTCCATATTTAGGACTGATCAGCTGAATGAACCCACACTCCAGTGAATGATGTTGTTTCCACTGAGACTTAATTGGTATTGCATGTCTTTAGATTCTCCTATTTCTATCTCAAGTAAATACCTGTTGTTTACGACGGTGATTCAATGACATGAAATATATTCTTGGAAAATTCCCCTTTTGGTGTTGCCTAAAAGTTTGACTTACTATCACATATACCTAAGTCATCTGCAGTTACCAGTGATGTCCGCAAATTTTATGAAAACCAGCCTTCAGGGTTTATTGCAAATAGAAACTGGAGCATACAATTTATTTTATGAAGCCATGTAAACTGATTGCTCACTAAAAAGTGACAGATTTTATATTAACAAGTCCCTAGTGCCGGCTAAACTCTGAAGACCACTTTGAAATGTAGCTACCAGTCTTGAAGACTCCCCATCATCGTTTTTCTCTGGTGGGTATTCATAAGTTAGAAGCAGCCGACAGAAAATCACACATTGCCTAAGTTTCATGCTTGTGGATGACTGTAAACAGACACAAAGCCTAGGTTGTGCTGGAAGTTCTGACAATTACATGGAACCAATAACATAAAGGAATATGTGTAGATAAATATATTTAGTCAATAGTTAAAAGTGGTGTGTTGCGGTAACTGATAACAAGATTTGGATATTTCAAAATATCTAACAATGAATGCTGAACTCCACCTTTTATCTTCCTAAGAATCACAAGTCAGATGCTTCTCAACTTTCAATGAGTGGAAATGCATCGCACTTGAGTGAGATGAGTCCAACTATCATAATTTCAGTTTGGAATTCATCATGGACTGACATTAGTGGAAGAACATTGGAGACCTGAGATCACTGGACAGCTGTTTTACCCCAGTATAGGGCTCCTAAGTAGTGTGCACCCATGATTCCGCCAAAGATCCAACCGCGACCCTCAGATTCCGTGGCCAACACGTCACCATTGAGCCACTGGATCAGAATCCAGTGGTCCACATTTCCTACTTCTCTCAGTTCACGATATATCACGATCTACATCCAATGTCGTCATTGAGTAACAATCATCACATTTGATATGTTTGACTCCACTGGTCACGACATCTTATTGGAATTTCAGGAGTAATCTCTCGAAGCTATTCACCGATGAGCGCTAGATCAATTCTATCTGGAGGTTTGTGGAGGTTTATTAACTGATTTTAGGTTGGAGTTCATCATGAACTCATATCAGTTGAAGAAGTATTGGAAACCTAGGAGTACTGGACAGATGTCTCATCCTAGGTCCTTGGTTCGGTCCTTAGAGGTGTCGCCGGTGTGCACTGCTGCTGAAGAGCCCCAAACTAGGACGAAACGGCTGTTCACTGCCCCCAGGTTTCCAATGTTCCTCCAAGTGGTGCCAGTCCATTGCAACTTAGAATCAATTCATAAACTTTGACAAACCTCCAGATAGGTTTACAATATCAAGCTACTCAGATGAAATATTGATTTGCTACTTAGCTGTTTGCAAGAAGGAAATTATTTAGTATTTATAAATATACTACTCACCTTTTCTGCTTTCTGAACTGGTTCTCCACTGTCTTCAACAGTTATTACAACTTCATATAAGCCGGCTTCATGTTGTTTTAAATTTCTTGTCAACATCACACGTCCACTTGGTGGATCCATTGTAAATGCATCAAGTACGCTGTCAGGTTTAATGCCCTCATTAGTTATATATGAATATTGATGTGTAATCCCATATCGTAATTGTGCATTTCTACCTTCATCTTCATCAACCGCTTTGGCTACTAAAGCACAATAACCTGGTACCTCATTATAAGAAACACGTATAATAGGGATTTTTGGCAGAGAATTTAGTGTATCTGAATTCATTTGGGAAGTGAAAGCTGTTGTTTCAGACAACGATCTGTTCAATAGTGTGTCATTGACTTCTTTAGGTGTAAAAAAAAAGAAATGTGTATGTATATATATACATATTACCTCAGAAGGAAAATTGAAGGTTAAGGAAAATATTCACGATAAAAAAAGCCTAAGGTAGGAAATAAACAAGGGGAATTACCTATGTTAGATAGCAGAATAAAACGGAAGGTAGACGGTGATTTGGATAATAACGTTTACAGGGAATCGACACATTCCAACAGATACTTGGATTTCAGGTCATCTCATCCAATGTCATTTAAGCCGGGTTTAGTCTAATCTGTAAGAGATAGAGCTAAAAAACTCACCAGTCATTGTAAGGGCTTAAATAAGGAATTGAAACACATAAAAGAAGCGTCAATAATTGATAATTATCCTCGACCGTTTATTAAGAAATTCGTAGGGAAATGTGCAACAACAAAAAAAATAATAACAGTAGTGCGAATACAAATGAGGACAACTACATGTGTAGAAATAAGTTCAAAGCCTCTATCGTGTTACCATATAAGGAATGAACATCAGAAACGCCACGTAGAATTCTCAACAAATCTGGAATTAGGGTAGCTTTTAAACCTACAAACTCACTCAGAAATAAGCTTTGTCGGCTGATTTGTGGATCCGATAGACCCAATTAAACAGAAAAATCTAATCCACCAAATTCCATGCAATAACTTCGAGGTTAAGTACATAGGTGAAACTAGCCGGTCAAAGTCAGTTCGATTAGCGAAACACGCAACTACACAACAGGGTGCAATGAAACCACTGTACTCAAGTCCGGTATAACTAAGTGGAGAGAAAGATTGATTGTTGAATCTTACTTCATCGAGTGTACACCCAACAGATGTAATAAAAATGATGCAACACCTACACCAGAGGTATGAAAATTTTTTACTACCAATAAAAACAGGTCAGATGAGGTGACAGAACTATAAAAATCAAATATCGAAAAGAGTATGATTACATTGATATGATTATGAGTAATAATTTGTCCTCGAAAAGTGATGAAGTGAATAATACTGTATCTCCGTGGTCTATATATCAACTAAACAAATCTAATATGGAATTAGATAAATTTGAATTTATCAGTTGTTTAAATAATAAAATAGAAGGGGAAATGTTTCAATAAGAGGTTTAAAATTCAAAGGTGATCTACCATAAGACGTTGCTTTCAAACTGTGTGCACATTCACACATAGGCGAATTCCACTCCAAAAAGTTTAAAAATCCTTTGAACTGACAAATACTTATTTACTAAACTCATTATCTTCTATTCTTCCATTGGTTATTTTTCCTCAATGTGTTTAGATTATAAAGTTACAGAAGAAGTCTTGTAACGTATCGCAACTCATCACTGAAACCTAACTAGCTCATCGTAATTGATTTCTAATGGTTGAATATGTAGTGTACAGTCGCGTTGTATAAAGTGAAATTAGCTAATAATAGAGATCTTTTAATGCATTTTAAGAACTTGCGAACTCTATGGTTTACGAGATCTCATCACGCAATGTTGGGAATTGAACAATTTACTATGTCCGAATTCCGTAATCATTTGAGCACTAATTATCATTTGTTCAGTGGATATCATTATAATTTACTAATAAGAAACAACAAGATTATGAAAATGTACACCGATTATATTCTTAATAGTTTGATCATATGGTGGCCATGACCTCAGAACATATTGTCCTTGGCCAGATTCTAAAAGAGACTATACACTTTGCCAGCCAAGGGATTTACTTATGGAGTGGATGATAAAGGAAAGAAAAGCCGAGTTAAGTGTTTCATTGGGTCATCTTCATTTACTCAGACATAAAACGATGTTTGATAATTTCATTTGCTTACAAAACAGAAACTAGAAAACACTGATTTGTTACTGATAGTATACCGTTCCACTTCAGTTTAAGATACGTAAAAATACAAAAATTACAAATGATTGCCTACTACATAAACCTTTTGTTATATACAGTAAGGCATGAACACAGATTTGGTAGGTTGAATGGTTTTCGAAATTCGGAGATGATATTAGGATTATTATATTATTTGTTCATTGGGTTCCTAGTGGAACACAGGGATTCAACAACACGTCTCCATTCCACTCTCTTCTCCACACTCTTTAAAACATGACTCCACAACACCTCAGAATCTCTCATTTCTTCCTCACACCATCTAATACATGTCACCAACGACTCGGATGCCCAGATCGCCGCTCCCCATCTGGGTTCCACTCCACAGCCTCGCATGGCCTGACACCTGATATCCCCTGGCGATCTTCTCTGTCCATGCACAACACATATCCACTTCCTTCCAGTACATACTTGTTCAGAGATAGCTTCTCGCTTCGTTGGTTCGTCAACAACCAGAGTCAGTTCCTTGCTGCTTATCCCCATCATTCTGGCCATGTGAGCTTCAGTAACGAGCCAGTGTAGGCAGTTGTCACTGAATATCTCTAGTTTGTTGAAAATCCCTTTCGTAATGCACCAGGTCTCTCAACCATCACACAGAAGCACTGACTCAACTGACATTAGTGTTTAAAATCTGGATGTTGTTCACGCTTTATGCTGAGTGGAGTGCAGGAGATCTGCACACTGGTTTCAGGTTAGTGAACGCCCGTGTTGCTGTCTTTCCGATCCTGGCTGATTTGACGTCCTCGTCTGTGCCTGTGCAGCCTGTAGTTGAAACGATTCTGCCTAGTTTACGTAGTTGAAGGAGACTACTTCCTTAAGGTTTCTCTGGTTGATGGTGATTGGAGTTTGTTGTTGTTGGTGTTAGTCGGGTATCTTCATCACCTGCGTCTTCTCCTCGTTCACTTGAAGTCCCGTCTTCTTTCGCTGCCCTGCCTCTTCTATCAACTTTTTATTTTTCGCCTGTAGATCTTCGAGTTTGTGCCACAAGACATTAGACAAAAGTCATCAGCAGAATCCAAATCTCCTAGGATCAATACGGAAATTTACAACTGTTTCGTTATAACACGAGGTGCCTCAGCACTGACCATTTCTGACCTCTTGATGCCTCAAAACAAGAGATATGATGAAATTTTCAAGTTGTTGATTGATCAGTAATATAGATATGCATATCTAGTTGGATTAAGGAATTCTTTTTTTAAAAGACTGATTGAACGAATAAATTTATTTCTTTTCAGTTAGGTCTTCATCTTGGACTGTACACTAATATATTGTTTTACAATTTAATCGAATTGCCAATCAAGTCGTGGGGGGTTGATGAACAATAATCATAGGTTTTAAGTCACGAACATAATGTGTTCGAAATTTATATATAAATAATCAATAGAGTAATTAACGTTGGTAATATGTAGCAGGTTATTCTCAGGTAAATGAAGGGATTTTTGATGAGTATAGTAATGATACATAGTATTCAACCATAAACAATAAATCATTACGTAGTAGTAGGAAAACAAATGAATATTGATAGAAACAAGAGGGGGGGGAGAGGTGTAGAAAGCATTACTAGAAATTACATCATATTGATGGCCACAGGTAATGAAAATGGTCGAACAAACTTCTTTCGAACATCAGGTTTGTAAAGGTGGATTGCGATTTCCCCTGCTATGTGGAGTAAGCGAGTGCGTAATTCACGTGATAAATTAATTGGAATATAATGAATAATTTTGAAAGCTTTTCTAGTATCCACTTGATGTCCCTTGTCAACTAGGTGTGCAGGTATGGAGTTTGTTTTTTAAAATCAGTTTTAATATTTGTAAGTAAATTGGTATTAGAATAGGACGTGATGTTTTGGTATAATCAAACCAGTTACTGAATCTTCAATCGGAACATCAAGATATAATGCAGCAAGACGTAAGATATAAATAGAAATGATATTGTTATAAGTAGTAGAAATCCATTGAACTCAGGGAAGAGAGGTTAAATCACAGAACAAAATGTGATATAATGTTTAGGGTGAGAGGAATATGTAGGTGCATTTGTGCCACCGTGATGTGTCCCAAACTGTATCATCCACAGTCCTCAGCTCCCAGTTTCTGCTGTCACTTGCATCCCACTAGTAGGTCAGAAAAATGTTCACAGACCTAAAGAACTTACATCACACTGTTACTTGGTCACCCTAAGCCTTTTTTCGACCGAACTTCAATTCAGCTAGTATGACAAGTTAGATAGGACAACAGTTCAGTATGACTAACACAACTCCTAGCTGTCATTTTAGACAATTTTTCATCAGCTTAATAGCTGAACTACCTATTTTGCCTTACACTAAAGCTGAGTGAGATTCGTTGAAAAAATATATGATTTCACATCTCTGATTTAAGTTTTTCCGATCCATTCCGAAATCGTAGGCAGTTACCACTATTCTAATCACAGGCAAAACATATATATATTACTTCACAATAATCCCTTTTTCAGATTATTTAAAAACTGTAAGGTGTTCACAAAAACTATGGTTTTGTAGATACAGATAGCTATTATCGGAATATTTTGACTTCGTTCAAGCGGTATATCATAACACAAAGCGATATTTTAGTTTCCATTTGTCATATCAAGTAAAACAATCTTCCCTTCTAATGGTTATGAATTGTCTTCATAAAATCAATATCATGGATATTGAATTTTGATTTAAGCCTTTAAAAGGATATCAAGCAATTTGATGGGAATCTATCAGGTGAATGTTTATGCAGATTTTGCTCTAAAAAAGCCTTTTGTATAGGGCAGTGTTGAACTTTTTGTAGATGATCCGAATGAAAAGTTTCGGAAGATGTTACGTCGAAAAGACAGAACTCTCTCTTTCATTGTCTTGCCTTACAATTTCTCAGATTCAGTTACTCAGTGGCACAGTTTATTTCAGAAATAAAGTCTTTTTAATGTGAATATACACCGTAGATCACCTTTCTTCAGTGCTTAAATTCTTTTCTACTTAATTGCATCGACTAAGGAAAATGGAGTAACGAACGGTGACACTTAAAGCTCCCTAAGTCACACAGTGAAACAACTAAAAGCCTTTACTCACTTTACTTCAGTATTTTATTACTTTGATGCAGTTTACGTGACACCTCGGAATACTTTAGTGCATTCACAATAAAATATAGAATAGCTTATTGACTAGGCTCAAGGATTCAGAGCTGAATGTTGCCCACCTCAACAAGATACTTAAGAGAATGAGCAAGCATCAAATGAGGATTGAGAAATTTCGTGATCAACTCACCTATAGATGAGTCGTTTTTGGTGGTACATCTTGTCTCCTAGAGTAGAAGCATGTTGACAGCACAACTTTTAAACTACCATACCCACTTGTACCACGTTCTAGTTTTACTTACCGAATATCCACAGATGTCAAAGTCATTCTGATATCAGTAAACATCAATCAACAGGTGGGAAATGTTTCTTTTTATTACAACAAAAGATGCAATCTGTTATACTACATCACTGATGTTAACCGGCTAAATCAACAAATATTGTTTGTCTAGAACTTGTTATCAAAGCAAAGTGCTTGATGAACACTCGTCCAACCATAGAAATGAAATTTGTTGAGTGGGTGCTGGAAATCAAATTTCTAACGAATACAGTATCAATGTCACTCTGGTTTACTTCAACACTGATGTACTGATTAGAAGTAAGACAGGTTGAACTATTGCATAGTAATTCTAGATTCTATCTCTTCGTTTATTGTTAACCATTACCCTAAACAACAAACAGCTGCATTTTAATTATTTTAAAAATTCTACTCTTGCCAAGATACTAATCTAGATGTGAGTAGCGGTGGTGTTTCTGAATCAGACCGTGTTTTACACTCGCCAGTTTAATAACAATGAACTTCAGTAGAAGGTTTATTTTGGTAACTGGAAAAAGATAAAATGTTGGTCTCTTAGCATACACTGATGTTATGCACTCAACAAGTATGTAGTCAATATTAGACAGATACTTTTCGGTAGGCTTAAGTTACTCCTTCAAGCATTTTATCACTTCTGAGATACACAGCTTGTTATGTACAAATATTCAATGCCTTTCGAGCAATAGGTGACTGTCATGAAACATTTTTGTAAAGAAAAGTGATATTCATATTCACAAAGGAAGAAGTTGATTTTCATTATGAAAGAAACATTTAACAGGAGCCAGACACATTAGTTTAACAAATGATTGTTACAGACAGACGTATTCTCTAAATATCAGTACTATTAAAAAATGGACAGCATGCCATGACGATTAAGCAGATATGTGTTTGATTATCTATGGAGGTCAACAGTTTGCAACTTAAAACTATGCCAGTGATCTTCTTCTTTTACACTGATAAGTATTTTTATAATATTAATTCAAAGAAGGTGAGTGAGAAAACTTTAAGGTTATAAAACTACTATATATGTTGTAGACTTCTATATGAAGGGTAATAAATAACTGAAATTATCATCACTGCAACGATTCTTTCTTTAAATAAAAAATTTTTTTCTCACTTATCACTCTGATTAGGCAATTGATAGGATGAAGAAGAGTAGAAAATAGAAACTTATTGTCAATCAAGTTTGAAAAGAATTCCCACTTGTACATCAATTAAATTTTTCTTCAGAGATGAATTTATCGCAAAATTCTTACAGGTTAAAAATAGAATGAATGGATAAAATTTCAAATGATAAGAAAAAACCCAGATGAATTAGCATGATCTATTACATAGATATTCTACTATGCCTCTTATTGTACAAGCTCCTTTAAGATAACATATTCTCAGAAAGCCAATTCTTAAGTTATATTATTTAAGTGAAAGTGATTAGCAAACATTGCTGCAGGGTTACGACACATAAAGTGTAAGCTGTAACAACTATTTGGCGCATTGGCTAGATGTCCCAAAAACTTTCAGGTTACTGATAAATTACTGCCTTCTACAAGGAAGTGAAAAATACATAATCGACTAAAACTTTCAACGTTCGAAGAAAAGGTTATCCAATCAAAGACCCATGTATCTGCTTTGAGACAGAGGAGTAATAAACCATAGTCTAATAGGAAAATAATGTCGAATGTTAATCACTGTCTCCAAAAAGATAAATTGAATTGATAAATTTTTCAATGTCTAGAACGGTGCAAGGTTAACCTCCGAATAAACAAGTCAATATCTGGTACTACTACTTCCTTACATGAATATCCTTGTAGAATGAATGTCTTGGTTCAGTGACGTACATTTTTTCAACATCTCTTAAAGATGGCTGTCTTATAGGGAATATTTCAATCTCAACTATCTTTCATAACTAGCGAATTATGTACTAGAATACTATTCTGATGAAAAACTGAAGGAAAAATCTGTGCTCAGCGCATTTTTTCTGTAGACTTTTAAGAAATAATATTTTTTCTTGTAACTACTTGGTAATTTATCCAGGATTTCAACTGAAGTTAATTAGCTTATAATAACAAAGATGTGTTAATAAGATTGGCTTGCTTAGACCTAGGTATATCAAAATGTTTCTACTAAATAAATGGAATTGTTCTTTTACAAGATATTTCATTCACTCGAGTGTTCTCTCACATTGCACTGTGTATGCACGTTCAGTTTTCAGGTGTTTTTAATCTATGGCTTTGTAATTTTTTACGGTATTATCAAGGTGGATATCAAC